TAGCATCAAAAAACCCAGGGCAGTCTTCAAAGCTTCTGGGAACTTGTCCCTAATCGCCCACACAGTGCAAGATGGGATGACCCTTCTGTCAGATTTCTTTAGCCTGTTAAACACCTACCAAATGAAAGACATCGATATCCAACATGTCGGCATTTCCTGTAAGAAGAGAAGTACAATAAAAAGTTTGAACAGACTAGTTAAAAAAAATCAGAGTGACACTTCTTACACCATTCAAAAACAATTAGTATTGATATTACAATATCGTTATAAGGAATTAATCATTCTGGCACTAATCATCAATGATAATTTTTATTGAAAATTTATTACTTCATTAATATAATACTTTTTTGTAATATAAAAATAAAAATTTATTTAAAAATTACAAATGAAGACAAATAATAGACTATCTTGTTTCTCAATCTTTTCTAATGTACAGTAATAATAATGCCCCTGTATTTTGACCATCAAAATGGCTGGACATTTGACCCTCTACTAGTTTTTGATCCAGCATGGAACCAACAGGGCCACGCCTAAGGCAGGTGGTTGTATGTCTGAGCAGAATGCCGAAAATTAGTCTTTGAACTAATCTGAATACTGTATATAACCATTGTCAATGTATCATGCAGAAGCTAAGTTCTGTGCACATTTTTCCAAGCCATTTTCTGCGCAAATTTGAGCTAGTTTTCAAGGTATCATCCAAATTCCACGACGAATAAACTGGCATTTTAGTAATGCTGTAGTAGTAGTAGGTCCTAGATAGTTCCATGGACCTAATAATTAGCATGTAAATTAATGTACTTTATTTAAAATAGTGTTGTTTGTTTGTCTAATGTTTGAAATATTATTATTATATAGTTTGTATGCTTAGGCCTAAACTAGGGCCCGGGGCCTAGGCCGCGCCGGGCAGTAGAGTAGGCCCTAGTATTCCGTATTCTCTACATACATACAGTAGTACAGTTACTGCACTAAATGCTAGGCTATGCCTACACAGGTAAGACAAGTTGGTATTAAACAAACCTATTTAACGCCACTATTAAGATCACCACTTCTAAGACTTCCTTATCCAAACCAGCAAACATATCTTTTTGAAAGATTCATTCTTCAAAAATGCCTTCGACTTATTATATTATTATTATTATTGAATATTTTCGCCAGTCCTAATTTTCCAATTTTCCGCTCGCGACGACCAATCTCATCAGTTGGTTGTGTCGTTACCAGCTCGTTACGGTTGAGTGAATCAGCTGACTCCCTGTCTAGTGCAAATTTCCGAAATAAAAACTGGGGCAAATCGTTATTTTACACATAATTGAGACATTTTCATAAGTGAAAACCCATATAAATGAAAAGAACGGCCAAATTTACATTGGAATATCTAAAGTTTGACACGATTTTTTATGGGGTTACCGAATGCAAGCCTTTGAAAGTCGGTACATTTTAGGAAATTCCCTATCTTATAACACTAGCTCAAAATCCTGTAGCACCAGTTTTTTTTGGGACCCAGTTCACCAGCCTCGTTTTCAAATACCGCGCTCCAAAATCGAGTGCCGTCACCGTCATTGTGGTCGCCCATCCCTCTATTTTAAATTAAAAATTAATCGTTTCATCCCCGCACTTCCCCTTTAAACAAAATGTTTTTCAACTTAATAATGTTAAAGAGAACTCACCAATTTTAATGTTTCCGCTTTGAGCTAAAATAAAAAAGATTAAAATCCATGTATTAATTCTTCTTTCTTCATTACTTCAAATCTCATAGTTAATGTCAATAATGTTAGCATTTATTGCATTCATAGTTACTGTCAATAATGTTAGCATTTATTTCAATAAGATTAAATTATTGCATTGTACTTAGCAGTGACATGAATAAGTATCAAACTAGTACCACTTACTAAACATACTTGAATAATATTTAATACAATTATCAATAATAAGCATTTGAAGTCTTTGTATATCCAATCTCAGTGTTACCAATAGTTCCAGTGTTCACAATGATTACAGCCCTCCCAACCACCCCCACCCCCATTTACAGTAACAATGAAGATGAAAATGATATCAAGTATCATTCCATCACAATGAAACACAAAAAAGTAATCACATTATTAACTCACTAATTGGATGTTTCTCACGATGATCAGCAAAATAATCTGGAACAGAATGATTGATTGATTATGATATTATTGTGTGCATTATACAAAGAAAAATGGCAATGTTTTAGGATTACAAAGTATACTTGAAAACAATAATGTTGCCTGTAATGTACAGTAAGTAATAAATTAGGTTTAATAATGTCTAATACCTAACATTAAAACTGGTCTGTGCTATTGTTTAAACATGGACCTATTAATAAGAACATGGACTTATTAATAGGTCCATGGTTTAAAGAAATGTTTGCTATACATAGGCTACACCCATTGCTTAACAATAGGCTTACAGCTTCAAAGGAACTTTTTTTGTTTTTGTAGGTAAGCTTTGATCAGTAGGGTAAGAATGCTTTGATCTTTATTTTATTAATAGCTATGCCACCTAGTAGAGGTAATGTTTTGATTGGTTAAACAAATGCTCCCCCCCCCCCCCCTTGCGCCGCCACTGGTAATGTACTGCAAACCTTAATATATTACTTTGACATGCAAACCTTCAAACAATATATAATTATTGTAATTTTATTACTTCAATCTTATAAATGAAAACTGGTAGAGGAAATGAAGTATAAATACAGTCAAACTTACCAGCTTTGATGTACACACAGTGACCTATCCATAGAACCACAATAACAAACTCAAGAATACCGCCAGTCCAAAAGATAACTGTGCAACAAGTCAAAACCCAAATTAATGATATTTTTTTTCTTTTTAAGAAAAGAGACAATAAAATACACTAAATACAATTGCTTTTATTTTTTTTAATATACCTCAGAATTTTTAATTTGAATTTTAAAGTAAATTTTATTGAATCATATGAAAATGTTAATATTTTAAATCTTTTAAATTATGCCTATTTTACTATTGAACTTCTTAAATTTTTAACTTTTTAAAATATTTATATATTAAAAAAAACTGTATATTCTGTGAGCATTTAGTTGTTTCTTGTGAAGGGCCCCCACTTGATAGTGATTAAGTTCACTTTTGGACTACGGACTATACCATTGTAAGTTAGGGGAACACAATGGATTATTTGTCTTGATCTTGCTCTTCTAAAATATGTTAGGCTGCTAGGGGTTGTTTGTATCAATTGTGTATTATGAATAAGAAACTGGGAATAGCTTATAATTACATTCTGTATTCCCTAGTTAGCGACGAGGGGATCCCCATACAGTGGCATGTGCTAGCTTGGCTTGGAACATTTTTTTTTTTCAACAAAACCATTAATTACTCGACTAAAAATTATTTTTTGAGAATTTTACTCTTTCTTTTACAGCGTTATTTCACTTTTTCACTTGTTTTATTGCATACAACACAAATATTCAATACAACATAATTAAAAAATTACAACAAAAACAGATATCAGTATTATTATTTCTCCTTTCTTCTTATACCTTATTCTTACACCTATGTGACATTTAATACTTTCTAATTTTATAAATTTTCACTAACAAGGTTTAATATAATTGTGACATATGGAGCCAGAGAAAAAAATGAGGATTTTTTAATTTTTTGAATTGCAGGCCTATCTTATTATCAGGAAACTACTACTTATAAAAATTCATATATAGGAGCAATGATTTACTTAAATTTACAAATAACATTAATTTTGAATACAATATTGTACATTATACTGTAGTTATAGATATTTTAATCTTTGTGTTGTTTGCAATAAAAGGGAGGAAAGTGAAATAAAACTGTAAAAGAATCAGTGAGCAGTGAAAATTACTAATTAATTTCAATTTAATTGACTAAAAAACACCTCTTATTTCTAGAAACCTCCAAGGCTGCCAATTTCCAATTCATAATGCACACATAATAAATGAAGATCAATAAATAATGACAGTATTGTGATATTATTTAATTATGATGAAATGAAAATTAATATTATCAGTATCAGTATTGATACTGGATAAATAGTAAATTTTGACTGGAAGAAAAATACATTTCTAGAAACTGATCAATTGATTAAGGAAAGCAATCCCCCTAAATAAAGCTGGAAAAAAGAGAAGGACTTAACAACCTTTGACCCATAATACTACTTAGGGGTCGTTCCACATTATCACCATTTTCACAAGTGTACATACAGAATGCTAGAATGTTACACAATAACATATGCATAAACATGTTGATTGAAATAACATGCAATATGTAAAATAATGATATAATTATAATGATGAAGATGAATTCAACATTTAGTCCTACTAAAGAAGTCGAACTAATGGTTATATGTAACGAAACTAAACAGGTACGGTACCACAAGGTAACTGCCCCAGTCTAGTTTTATTTAACAGTATGTCTTTCAAAAGTGCTGGGCTTAGTACCATCCCAACATAACCCCCCCCCCCCCCAACCCCCCCCCCCCCCCCCCCCCACCTCATTTAAGCAACCAAAACTACACCATTAAATAAGAGAAGAACTTCATCAATGACCAACAATACGTCAATGAAAAATGAAGAAGGATACTCGGGATGTTTCAGGTTAATTCGACTCGATACGATACCAAGTTAAAATTATTAGGAACAAGAGCAGACACTTCGACAACTTGTGATGCTTGAGAAATTAAAATTATTGTTGACAACAACAACAATAATAACAAATTAAATATATCATACCAGCATTATTTAATTTGGCCTAAGCCTTGTAATGTATCAAATAGAACCTACATTACTACGTTTACTACTTAATCCAAAGCAAAACTTAAAAAATAAACATTCACAACAATGCCAACAAACGGCAGAAAAGCGTCACAGTAGTATGAACAATTACCCCTTGTATTGTTTTGTATTTGGATTACTGGATGCTTATGCCTAAACTAGGCTACTCACACATTCTACTTCACAAAGCATTTGACTCCATTTGCAGAGAGAGTCTGTGGATGATCATGAGCAAATTTGGATGTCCAGACAAAATCATAAACATGATCATAAACAAAATCATGATGGTATGGTAGGGTATGTCACTGACAATGGCACCTTCAAAATCACAAATGGCACTAAACAAGGTGATGTGTTAGCACCCATTCTATTCAGCATGACATTTGCTGCTATGTTGATAAATGGTTTTAAGACTGAAGACCTTGGTATCGATGTACGTTTACCGCCTGGATGGGGCTTATTTAACCTAAGACATCTCCGAGCCAGGTCAAAGTTCAGCCATGTCAGGATCTGTGAACTACTCTTCGCAGATGATGCCGGACTTCCTGCAGATTCTTACATAAGCATGCAGCAGAACATGAATTCCTTCTCTAAAACCTGTTCAGATTTTGGCCTTGAAATAAACACAAACAAAACAAAAGTAATGTTCCAACGTGCACCTGGTTGTTCAAGCTCATGTGAACCAATTGTAGTAAATAGTCAACCTCTCGAATATGATGACAACTTTACCTACCTCGGTAGCACCCTGTCACATGATAACCTGATTGATTCTGAAGTGAATGCCTGTATTGCAAAAGCCAGTGCTGCTTATAGCAGGCTAACAAACAATGTCTGGAAGCGCTGAGGAATAAAAATGAATTACCAAGATCAAAGTTTATCAAGCCATAGTACTATCATCACTACTTTATGGGTGTGAAACCTGGACAGTCTATCAACGGCATGTGCGCAGGTTAAACCACTTTTATCTAACTAGTCTACGCAAACTACTTAATATTACATGGCAGCAGAAAATAATAATAAAAAGCTGAAATGAAAAGCATCTTTGCCATCATCAAGCAGCATCAACTTCGTTGGACAGGCCACTGTGTCCGTATGCCTGATTATCGTATCCCAAAACAGCTGCTTTACGGCGAGCTATGGACAGGAGAACGGTCCCATGGAGGACAAGAAAGCGGTATAAGGATACCATTAAAACATCACTCAAGCAATGCAACATAGATGAGCAGTGGGAAAATGCAGCAGTAAACCGCTGTAAATGGCGTACTTGCATCAAAGAAGGTACAGATCACTATGAAAAAAATCGTATATCAAAGGCACAATATAAACAAGCTTCAAGAAAAGAACGTTTAGCTACGCCGTGTGCTACCACTAAACACCAGTGTCCTGACTGCAAAAAATACATCAAAGCAAGAATTGAACTTACCAGCCACAGTCGCAAACACACAAAATGATGTTGGTGGTCACCTTCGAATCGAAGGACGAAATACAAAAAAAACAAAACTTCATAATAGCAGCCAGAACCTATTGTTTGCAGAGCAAGATCAAGACCAACAACCATTATTATGCAGCCCCTTACAATGGTATACGCTAGTCCATTGTGTATTAGACAGGAATGGCTTAAGTCGTACTGTACATTCTAAGCCTAATTTTATTGTATATATTTATATATACAATATATATATATATATTGTATATATAAATATATACAATAAAATTAGGCTTTCTAAGCCTAATTTTATTGTATATATTTATATATACAATATATATATATATATTGTATATATAAATATATACAATAAAATTAGGCTTAGAATGTACAGTACATTCTAAGCCTAATTTTATTGTATATATTTATATATACAATATATATATATATATTTATATTGGCAAATCTGAAGTGGTACTTACCAATATGGATACCTGTGGAAGAAATAATAAGATGGAAATAATTACTGCTGTTTCTTTGATTACTGCTATATATTATTTATTATTATTTCGACATTCTTATATCTATAACAATTTAATGATTGATTGAAAAGGCATCACAAGCTTTAAGTTTTGATGCCCTACAAAGAAATAACAATAATAACTACAAAATAAAAATAAAAAGATAATAATAGAAGACAATACATTTATAAATCATGATTCTCGAAAAAGGGTAATGATATTATGACATACTGCATACAATGGAAAAAAAGTAAAAATTGCCAGTTTTATCTATATTTGTTAAGTAGTTAGTTGTGTATTTCTCTTTTAAATAAACTAATACTTTGTAGATTTTTTATATTGTGTTCTAAGCCATTCCATATTTTGGTGCCTCTATAGCTGATACTGTTTTGTGCCATTATTGTTTTCATTAATGCAGTGGTAAAGTAGTGGCTTGTAGAGGTTACCGTTGAGCAAAAGCTGGCCGTTTCCGAATATGGCATTTTTCTTTTCAGCGTAAGCCAGGGTCATGTTTCCAGCTAGTTCTTGTTTTTTCCTAACATCTGACTTGGGTAAATCTTCCGTTAACGTCATTAAGATCAAGACCATCTCGTAATAGGGATTGTAATTTGTCATGTGTTTTTTTAGTGGGATCCTCCGAATCGTAGGTTGAAGCTCCTACAATAGCGTTCCTGTTTTATAAGTGCACTCTCTATTTCCGCCATTTTTTGTTTAAAAGCCCCCTTTTTCTTTTTGTAGTCCTCCATTTTGTTAATTTTATTTTCAATTGCTTTATATATTCTTTTGTTTCATTAGGGTAATTCCGTGTCAAATCAACCAGAGGTCCCAGGTCGACCGTCTCCGATTTTTATGAAACTTCTTAAAAATGATCTACTATGTGAAAAATCAACATACACAAAAGATTAGCCCTACTGGATATGTAGTTTCCGAGATATTGACGCCCCCAAAAAAGGGGCGTGGCTCTTCAAGATTCGCAAATGCAATTTCCTCCAAATTTGGAAGCTTATAACTTAGGATTGGTAATAGCTATCAAGGTCAAACATGGTATTCTAACTTATATTCCTCCATATCAAACAAATATGGCATCATTATCTGTTATCCCTTCTCTTTTGAAGTTACCTGCACTCAAAATAGCCACATTGTTTAACGATGCAATTTTTTTGTGATTTTCAATGTCACCCTGTGTCCATATGAGTGAGTGTATACAGTACATCTTAAATTACAGATATATTATCTATGGGTAGTTGCCTCTAGCCACCAGCAAGCATAGGCTGATAAAATGAATTAAAATGGAATGGCATCCATTCAAAGTTGGGACCAGCCCTAAAAAAGTGAAAAAAGCCTATGTTTCCCATTAACGGTTCGTCGTGTGGACAATTAAAATCTTTTCTTAAATTTACACCAGTTAACCAGATATATTAGATCTAATTATACACCAAATTTCAGCTTTGGTTCTCAGCTCCTTCATGGTTAGATACTATGTTGAAACTACACATATTGTAACATAATCGGAAATAACTAAATTTTTTAAGAGTTAGGTAATTCCATGCCATGGGATCATAGATTTTTAAAATTTTTTATACTGACAGTTATTCATGTGAATTGAAAAACGTGAAATTTTTAGACTCCAATTCCTGTTTGTTTTCCCATAGCGGCAGTTTGATGTAAAAAGGGGGCGTGGCACAAATTAGTGGACTGTGAAATTAACTTTGATTTTCGTATGCTAATATCTTTGGAAGTATAGCGCCTATAACCTTCAGATTTTGTGGTGTAGGACATCTTTTGCTGCTGATTCCAAATCTGCAATCAGAAAAGTTGTTTGGGAATAATGGAAAAACATAGTGCTTTGTGTAGCAACAAATATATTAGGACAAAAGAAAAAGAAAGTTAATTATAAAGCTTGGTTTGATAAAGAGATTGAAGAGTCCATTGAACAGCGGCAATTAGCATGTAGAAGGCACCGTCAGTATTTAAAGACAAAAAACAATCCAGAGTTTAATGCAAATTACTGTCAAACACTGTGAGAAGAGTATCAAAATAAACGCAAATACTGTAAAGGTATAATTAAACAAAAAATTCTAAAAAAACTAGTTGAGAGATGTTCCCACATAATGGAAAAGGGTGGTGCACAAACAAAAAATTTTTGGACAGAATTAAAAGGAAAACAACATCCTAGAAAAATTAACTCCTTAATTATCCCTGGAACTAATACAACTTCAGATCCAGTACTCATGAAAGAAGCACTAAAGATGCATTTTGGTGATATTAATGAAATTTGGGAAGGGACTGAGATATTTAAGTCACTGAGATATTTAAGTCACATATTAATCAAGAGAACCCATTAGTATATTTAGATAAGATAAATATATCATATGAAGATGTGATTTTTGCTATTTCTGACTCTAAAAACAATAAGAGTCCAGGAGCAGATTCAATTACATATGAAATTATTAAAAATGGTGGAGATGGTATGGCCTCTTCACTATTTAAGTTGTTTTCTAGGTTAGTTGTAATTGAGTCTGTTCCTGACAAATGGAATGAAGGTACTATTATCCCATTATATAAAAAAGGAAATAAACATGATCTGAATAATTATAGAGGCATTACCCTTAATTCATACGTGGCTAAAATTTACAACAAAATTATTGCTTTAAATATATCCTCTTTTCTGGAAGAACATAACATTTTAACAGAGGTACAGGGAGGTTTCAGAATGAAAAGAAGGTGTGAAGACCATATATTTATATTAAAAAGTATTCTTGCTACAAGGCAAGCACAAGGCAAGAAGACACACCTTACCTTTTTAGACTTTAAAAAGGCTTTTGACTCTGTATGGAGACAAGGACTTATACAAGCTATTAAAAATGTAGGCATAAAAGGCAAACTTCTAAATATTATTCAGAACATGTACTCCAATGTCAAATGTAATGTTATTTTTAATGATATTAAATCTGATGTTTTTGAAACTAAGGAAGGAGTTAAGCAAGGTTGTCCACTTTCACCTATCTTATTTTCTATATATATATAAATGAACTTAACAAAATCATTAAAAAAAGAAAATTAGGAATTTATATTTTCAACGCGCAAATTGGAAATTTATTTTGGGCCGATGACGTTGTTTTAATAGGTGAAAATGAACATGACCTTGAACTACTCTTAGATGCAGCTGCAGAGTTCTCAGAACTCTGGAAACTTAAGTTTAATTTAGAAAAATAAAATCACAGGTATTAATTGTTGGCCAAAGAGTAAATAAGCTGAGAAAATGGAAATTAGGTAATAACCTTATAAGTGAAACAGATAAATACAAATATCTCGGTACAATTATATCAAGAAAAAACGATAATAATCATATTGAAGAGGTTATCAAAAAAGGAAATAAAGTAATTGCCTATATCAAGTCAATTATCGATGGCCAAGATATACTATATAGTATAGGATACTATGGCGATTTATTGTGGAAAACAATTGGTCTTCCTACAATAAACTATGCATGTCCTGTTTGGGTCCCGGGCAGTAAACAGTTAGTTAACAAACTTGAAAACATGCAATATCAGATGGCTAAAATTATCCTGAAAGCACCAAGGAATGTTGCCCATGAAGCTTTACTTGGTGACTTAGGGTGGCAATCTATGGAAACGATTCAAAACAAATTTAGAATAAAATATTTTGATAGGCTTAAAACTATGGATGAGGATAGATTGCCTAGACTACTATGTAAATCACTTATGGAGGTTAGATCACTTACACGATGGAAATGGATTGATAACATTAAAGCATTATTAGACAAATATGATCTAAATGATATATATAATACTGAACCACAAAATACTCAGTGGATAAAATCTTTTAGTAATATGATCTCAGACATCTAGATGTGTATAAACTAAAAAATCATCACTGAAGGATTACATTAAATACAAAAATATACAAAATTTAGAATACTACCTTTTGGACAAATTGAATTTTAAAGGTACACATTTAAAGTTTAAAGCTAGAACTAATGTTCTAGATCTTGAAGGCAGAAAACGGGCATGGTCAGATACGTACTCGGGCCATTGTATTATTTGCAAAAAAAGAGAATTAGAAACGGTCGACCATTTTCTATTTGATTGTGAAGGTCTATCCTCTATTAGAAATGCATGTTTTGAAATTTGAAAACCGACTTGTGTAAAATTAATAGGTACTTTTGGGACATTTTCTTAGAAGGTTCATGTGAATTTAGGCACCACTTACTTTTAGATAATATTTTTGATGCATACCAGAATATTGAAATTTGTAACATATTTGATAACCATTGTAAAACATATTTAATAAAAGCAATGACTGAAAGAACTGAACTAATAAAAAACATTACCACCAATATTTAATTTTTAAGTTATTTACTGTACTTATAAACTTATATTTTTTTTGTCATTTTTATTTATTTATTTACTTTATATTCTGTAATTGAATTCTCTCTTTTTTTTCCTTTTTTTTAAATTTATTTATTTTTTTTTTAAATTTTATTTTTTTAAAATTTATTTATTTACTTTTTTTTTTGTACATTAAGTTATTCCTTAATTACTACAGAATAATGAGAGTATTTGTTTTGTTTGTCCAGTATTTTTTCTTTATTCATTTATCTTTTCAATAATTCATTTTTATATGTTGTCAGTTGTTGTTTTGTAACTGTTGTACGGGTCGAACCTCTCCTGCGCGAGAGTGTTCCTCTGTTATAAAAGAGAGAACCAATAAATCTTATCTTATCTAATCTTATCTTATCTGTAGCATGTACCATTGTGGAATAGCAATGGTCTAAAAATGGGACAAAAACCTGCCTGGACAAACTTTTTGCATTTTTGGAGGGCTGTATCTGGGGCAAATTTTAAGTTTAGTTAAGTTTATTAATGTGTATATACTGGTAATACTGGTGGGTTAGGATTCCTAAAAATTTGGAGATTAAAAAAGATTTACTTTTTGAGTTACGGTTACCT